CCTGCTCGACAAATTCCCACCAGCAAAATGTCTGCCACCACACAAACTCCTGAGGGTACGTACAAGCTCATCTTCCCATTTGGCGCGTTCTAGGAATTCAATCGCCGACTTATACATTCGCCGGCAACTCATGCTATCTTCATTTTTGAAGTCACGCCCTTAACCCCCATGTCGGAACATGCGCCGAAGCTAACCCGGTCTCCGCCCCCACAGTTCTCTGGGCCCAGCGCTCCAGCTCTTCAGACGCCTCCAAGAACTTCGTCTACTTGACGATCACCGTTCCCGATGTTCCCAAGTCCAGTCTCAAGGTCGACCTGAAGCCTACCGGCCTGTCCTTCAGCGGTACCTCCGACTCTCTGAAGCGCTCGTATGCCGTTGACCTCGAGCTGTACGCTGAGATCGACCCCGCTGAGAGCAAGGTCAACCACACCGGCAAGAATGTCGAGTTCAAGCTCCAGAAGAAGGAACTCAAGGAGGAGTACTGGCCTCGCCTGCTCAAGGAGGCCAAGAAGGTCCACTTCCTGAAGACCGACTTTGACAAGTGGGTCGATGAGGACGAGCAGGATGAGGCTGCCGAGGAGGATTTCTCTCAGTTCGGCGGTATGGGTACGTGATTTACAAACTCCCTTGCAACTCAACACCCCGCCATGGCGGATTACGGTGCAATAGAGCCTTTCCAATTGCAAAGACTAACACGTTCGTTTACTAGGTGGCATGCCTGGTATGGGTGGCCCCGGCGGCGGCGACTTCGGCGGCATCGACTTCTCCAAGCTTGGCGGCGGCGGCGCACCGGGTATGGAAGGCTTGGGAGATATGGAGGACGAGGAAGATGATGAGGATGACGATGACATGCCTGCCTTGGAGGGCGAGGAGGACGACGGCAAGGCCGCACCTGCTGCTGACAAGGCTGCTGCGAAATAAGCAATCTCTTCCTTTAACACGCACCCGAGACGACTTTCCCGGCACTTAGGCCAGCAATCTTGGCTGCAACGCCCGTGGATACCGCTCTAGACTAACGACTATGAATGTACTTTTTCGAATCAAAAGACTAAAAGAAAAGACGACACGTGATCTGTGGGATTGGTTTCTACTTATTTAAGACGAGAACTCAAGGTGTGGTAGGCATTTAGCGAATGGATATCATGATTCTCTGAGCATTCTTTCGAACCCCACCGTGGAAGTTACTTCCTAGCAAACGCGGTTCGTGGTCTCTGTCTGTAGGCGCTCGGTGTACGAGGAGATGTCTAGGATCGAATTTTTGCGTCTGTGAAGCCGGGAAACCTACTTCAAGATCATAGGTTGGTGAAATCGATTTGAGAGATCAGCTGTGTTCCTTTATCTACATCCTCAAAGGTCTCCGCGTGCCTGACCGCAAGCTGTCTCCCCCCCCCCCCCCCCCCTCTTCTTCTCGCTAAATAACTGAATGATTCGCTCAGACACTAATTAATCACGAAGAACTTCACGTTGCGTTATTGAATCTCAAGTTGGGGGCTCGGCGCTTTGTGTATTAGAGTCTGTCCGACTTGAGGATCGCTATAATACATGCCCTGCTATAATTTGGGCGAAGCAGATGGGTGACGTGGTGTTCCGGCTCAATGAAGCCGTGGTTGGTGTTTTTGTGATGTTTGGGAATAATTGCCGGAAGGCCGAGGGAGGCAGTCTGAGAGCTTGAAAGAAACCAAAACATGTCGAAACCAAAGCCATAATCCCGTAACCTCCGTGTCTTCTCTCCTTCCAGCAATCTGTTTGAGAGTTTCGGAGTCGCGCGCATAAGGAAAGTTGAAGGGAGCCCCCCACACAATGTGCCACTTTGACCTCCTCAGTGCCCAGCGTTATGTGAATGAGTCTGTAGTAGCTTTGTGCCGTTTACATGATCTCATCCTCCATAGCAGCGTCGCCGTTAGTGGCTGCGGGGGCAGGTGCGGGGGCAGCGGCGTTCTCATTAGGGTTGGCACCAGACTCGAAGTAATCGGCCATCTCGGAGTCAAGCTCCTCGGCCGTCTTCTTTGCAGGACGGCCGGTGCGCTTGGCACGGGGCTTCTTGCCACCAGTGCCAGCAGCGGCAGGGCCACCCTTGCCGGCGTTCGCGTTGTTGCTGTTGTTGTTGCGCTTGTTGTTGGCAGCAGACTTGGGCTGAGCCTTGGGTTGTCTGTTTTCTTGTTAATATGCATTTCAGTATCTCATGGAGATTTTGCTTACGTGGTGCGCTCAGCAAGAGTCTTCTTGGCAGGAGGGATGACGTTGGCTGCCTGAGAAGCGCCAACAACGATCTCAATCTAGTTCCCGTTAGAGTATACATGAAAGGGTATGATTCGAGATGCTTACCTTGATCGGGCGGTTGTCGACGAGCAGACCGTTCAGCTTCTGGAAGGCCTTGCTAGCGCCATCCGCCTCGCGGAATGTGATGTTGGCAATGCCGCGGCTAACAGAGTTGGGTCCGTAAGAGATGTCAACTCTCTTGATGGGTCCAACTGATGTGAGAAAGTACTCCTGAAGGGAAAGTCGATGTTAGTTATCCGTAAGCGTTGATGTTTCAATCACGAGCGTCGTCCGAACCCGAGCCGCACGAGGGGCAAGGAATCGGCAGAAATCCAATAGTCGACCGGAGCACAGGAGGTTGGCAGCGAGCAGAGCAGTGAGCGTTAGTACGCACGTCAGCGTCCATCCCCAAAGAAGCCCCAGTTGAAGCCATGGCTGCCTCGTGTTCAGTTGCCATCAAGTCGGAGGGTATCACCCCAAGTCGTAACAGCTGCTGTGGGGGAACGTCGTAACACATGGCCGTAACACCATTTCAGACCCAAATAGCCATGTGTATGTACTATGCCCCGAAACCCCGCTGAAAGGCCATCCGTCATTGTAGGTTCGCGAATCGATAGCAGCGAAGCTATGTATCGAAGCCGTCCTGGCCTGTGCTGCGACGTTGCTCACTGCTTTGCTCGCTGGAAAGGGCTTCATATTGCATCATCATGCTGATGAGTGGTGCCAGACCAAGCTGGTCTTGTGGATATCCGTCGAAGACAGCCAACGTCCCATATTTTCAGTCGGCTGTACCAATTTCTTGGGTGCTGACCAGGCTACCTCAAATTTGGACTGTGTTCGCGCGACAGGGACGTGCTCAACTTCTGATGAGTTCTGCGCCGTATCTCAGGATCGCAGATATCGAGGAAGGAGTCTTGATGGTGTCTTGACGGATTCCGTTTGGGAAGCGGCCTTGGCCACAGTGGATTTGATATCGCTACGACGCCGGCTGGGAAGGAGAGCAGGCGAGAAATAACATGTCGAACCAAGTCCGAGGGCTGAAGAGCCTTATCGGCAACATACCTTGATCTGTTGCTCGTTGACATCCTTGGGCTTCGTATGTGTTAGCTTGCGCCAGGATTGACGGAGGGAGGAAAGTAACTTACCAGGTTGCTCACGATGACCTTGCTGTCACCAGAGCCTTGCGCAGGCTTGGCGGCATTAGGCTTGTTGGCGGCGGCGCCGCGCGCAGGTCGCGATGTCTTCTGAACACCGCCGACAGGGGCAGCGGCCGCAGGGCGACCACCGGTGGATCGACGCTGAGAGCGACGGCCGGGTCCGCCGGCAGAACGGCGTTGGGTCGAGAGAATCTCATCGAGAGACTGGTCAAGCTTTCCAGACATGATGACTGTGGTGTTGGATTTGTTTGATAGGAAAATGTGCTTGCGATAATGCTGCGATGAGAAAGCAGCTGGTCGATGGGTCTCTTCAAGTATTATTAGGTCGTGAAGAGCGTGATGCGAAACGAAGTGCTGATGTGATGAAGAATCAAACTCTGACGCGTAGAAGCTTGCGCGCGAGGAGTGGTCGGTCTGAAGGAAGAGGTAGAGAATACAGGAGCTGCACAAAAATTTGAGGATGCAGCTGAAGAAGGAAAACTTTGGTCGGGAGGCCGAGGGGTCTCTTTGATGTTGGACGGGGAGGTTTGTCTTTGGGAAGAAGAAAGGTTACGAGATGAATGGAATGGGCGGGTGAAGGCGAAATGGGAAAGGAGACGGGGCAAGGTGTTGGTGCCAGCGGAGCGGCAGGCTGCGGCGCGCCTGACCACAACAAGGGGGGCCTGAGGACCCCGTTGACAGCGGGAAGTTGATTGGTTGCACTAGTCCTCTTTGGGCCGAGAAGGATCCGCCAGAGCTGCTGCCTCCTCAGCCACACATCCCCTGTTTGCGCCTTCCAATTGTTCCATTTCGGGAAGCAGCTGGTCAGGTCTCCTTTCCATCTCTTTGGCGCTGAGTTCAATGCGCCTTATCGAAAGATATAACTTGCCGAAGCAAGAATTGGGGCAATTGAGGCAGCAGGCCATAAACCAACAGGCCCTGGTATCACTGGATAGTACGATTGATTCTCAAGATTTGGTTAGCGCCACAGCCAATAGTTTGAGTAGGCTGTAGCATGGCCTACCGTCACGAGGCATCCACAGCATTTACGCAGAGAATACAAAGGTAGGGGAGTTCAAGATCATGGACCTCGGTGTCTGTCAATGGCATTGCAAGACCGCAGTATGGAGGTTGTGCCATGGGATTTTGCGCACAAAGTCGATGTTCATCACGTGTATGCAGCGCTGAGCCAGATTAGACTAAGGTATCGTCTCAATGGTGATGCTCTAATGTTTCGATTTTGGAGGGCAAGAGCTTGTCGATGCCCCTAGTGTTTGCTTCTTTGACTGCATTAACTTTCGAAGCTCTGTGTTCTCTCAAGGGAGGAACGTTTCGTTGTCAACCCCCTGAAAGACCGTATTCGATATCACCTGTCCCCTCAGACACTGACATCAATGCCCTCTCTCATCGCTAATATGTCGCCCCAAGCCTCGCGTCTCGTTCGTCTCAGGGCAGTCGCAGAATTCCCAAATACCTCTCGCCATATGTATCTTACAGCGGATATCCCATGGCACCTGACTATCTCACTTGCGCCGTTTTGTGGCCTTCTAGGACGCTGCTTTGGCGGACTTCGCGGTTCGTACAGCCTTCTCGGGCTTTTCCTCTTCATTGTTGACTTCTACATAGTGGTAGAAGATAATGAGAACCATGGCGGCGGAGCCAAGGAAAATCGCAAGGCGGTAGAGATCGTTGTCGGAAATCATGATGGGCTCGGGATCGTTTGCGCGGCGATGCTTGTGGGTGATGTGCAAGGAGGATCTTCAGGAGGACCTCAACGTCTGGGCGTCAGTTATCCGCACCAATACTGCAATAGAAGAAAACAATGACTTGAACCTACAGTGGGTGTCTTTCTTCCAACAATCAATGGAAAGAGTTGAATTTGTTCGTCAAGGTGAGCTGTTTGGACTTGCTGGCGCGGCGCACATGGAGCTTGAGATGAGGATGGCAATGGGTAACCAAACGGACAACTAGACCACTGGAGCTGCTGTCCACGTTTAGACCGGCCACGCTAAGAGTGACTTGGTGCTCGAGTCGGTCCTCCACTTCAGTACCGCACCCCCCTGTCAAATCTGCTGTGACGCTCCGCCCCCACCAATGTAAGCCCTTCACGTGACCCGCCCACCGTGCCTTGAACTTCTGACTTCATCCACGGCGCTCCCACTCTTCTTGGATTTGCAGTGATGACTTTTTGCGTTACGTCGATCTGAGCGGACCCTATCGACTTGTCTGTCGACATCCCACAACAACACGAACCAAACTAATCCCGCCAGAAGTGGTTACTCAGTCGTAGCAGAAGACTTTTGCTTCTGCCCACCAACCTTTTCTCGTCTCCAGAAACCGAATACCCCGCCAAGATGCCTCCCAAGAAAGTGGACAAGCCGGCCAAGAAGGCCGTCAAGGTCGAGGACAAGACCTTCGGCATGAAGAACAAGAAGGGTGGCGCGGCCCAGAAGCAGATTGCCCAAATGGCGTCTTCGATGAGGAATGGTGGCAGTGCCGAAGAGAAGCGCAAGCAGGCAGAGAAGGAGGCGAGAGAGCGCGAGAAGAAGGCGGCAGAGGAAGCCAAGAGGGAGACCGACATGCTTCTGAACAAGCCCGCACAGATTCAAAAGGTCCCGTTCGGTGTCGACCCCAAGACAGTTGTCTGCAACTTTTACAAGAAGGGCAACTGTGAGAAAGGCAAGAAGTGCAAGTTCTCTCACAACCTCGAAGACGAACGCAAAACATCAAAGAAGAACCTGTACACGGATACCCGCAAGGAAGAGGAGGAGAAGAAGAAGGCCGAGACTTCTGCCGACTGGGACGAGGAGAAGCTTCGCTCTGTCGTTCTTTCCAAGAAGGGCAACCAGCAGACCACAACTGACAAGGTCTGCAAGTTCTTCGTCGAGGCCATCGAGGACGGCAAATACGGATGGTTCTGGATCTGTCCAAATGGCGGCGACAAGTGCAAATACAAGCATGCTCTTCCACCAGGGTAAGTGACATCAGTCCAGCGATCATTTTCATGCTAACATTGTCACAGATTCATTTTGAAGACCAAGGAGCAGAGAGCAGCTGAAAAGGCCCTCATGGACAAGTCACCTCTCAAGACCCTCACCTTGGAAGACTTCCTCGAGTCAGAGCGACACAAACTTACCGGCACCCTCACACCGGTCACGCCGGAGTCATTCGCCAAATGGAAGAAGGAGCGTCTGGACAAGAAGGCAGCCGAGGAGCAGGCCAAGAAGGCCAAGGAAGCAACTGGTCGTGCCCTGTTCGAAAGTGGTAACTGGCGCACAACCGAGGACGATGAGGAGGAGGACGACGATGATGAAGAAGACGATGGAATGTGGAACTTGGAGAAGCTGCGTGCCGAGACCGCTGCTCTTCGCGAGAAGAGGGAAGAGGAACGTTTGGCTGCCATCAACGGTGGCCCTGTTCCACCAGTGGTACCAGAACCGGTAGCTGCCGAGGCGTCTGGATCTTGAGCTTCCTAACAGAGGAGAAGCCTTCTTGTATGCGCCCGAGGTTGCGAGCATCACCACGAAACAGGCCGATTCCGAGCACCTGGAAGACCAGGTTCATCCGGCGGCCGTGCCCATGCTACGCCAAACCACGGTGGCAGATCCGTCTACTCTCACACCTAAAATTCATGAAGTATGACTACGTACGTAACGTGCACATCAACTTCCTAAGTTGAGTACTCGTGAGACTACCAATGGAGACATATTGAGGATCTTTGGCTACTTAGAGAGAGGCTAGAGATTACTGGTGGTTACATTCAATCATGACGTGGATCTATCTCAACGTCTCCAGTGCCGCTTGATTGCTCAGAACTTTTCCACGTACGGTCTGATGTCAATTTCCTGACTGAACGCGGAGCGGTGTTGCGTGTGCAGGTACCAGTAGGCATCAGCAATCTTAATGTTGTTAGCAATATGTCTGCTTCAGGGTTTTGAAAATCACTTACAGCGTCCGGTGAAATCTTGCCATCTTCTGCGCCATCGTTGGCAACGTAGGCCTTACCCCACGGGGTATCAATGCCTCCGTCGATGATGGCGTGTGCCACATGGACCCCCTTCGGACCGAACTCGCGTGCTAGAGATTGGCCCAAGGCGCGGAGGGCGAATTTGCCTGCCGCAAATCCTCCAAACAATGCGCTGCCTGCGGAAGAAGGTCAGTCATCTTTCAGCTCATCCCCACTCTGAAGACAAACCTTTGATGGATGCCGTGGCTCCAGTGATGATCAAAGACGGCGGGTGAGGGGAGTCGGACACCGACTCGAGCAACAGGGGAAGCGTCTTTTGCGCGAATGTGAAGAACCCCTTACTGTATACCGTGCGTGTTAGTCGCCTCTTCCAGAAGATCCAGTAAACGATGTCTCACGTACGGCGCAGCATCGAGACTGACATCAAGCTCCTCTCGCTTAAGCTCGAGGAACGGCTTGCGGGAAAAGCCGGCGTTGACATTGTAGATGGCGGCAGCGAGCTTGCTTCCGGGGAGCTCCTTCTTGATCGTCTCAAAGGCAGCGTTGACGGCGGCCTCGTCTGTGGCATCGGCCGTGATGCCGAAGGCTTGGCCGCCGGCCTGCTTGATCTCGTCCACGATGGCGTTGTAGCTCTCTGGCTTGCGGGCGAGGAGCACCACTGGGTACGCCTTTGCGAAACGGACGGCTGCTGCGCGGCCTGCTGTTGCGTTAGTCTCGACTGCCTCAATGGTACGCTATTGTAGGAGTGCGTTCTGACCAGTGCCGGAACCCGCTCCGGAGATGATTGCGTAGAATGATTTGGAGGCCATGTTTAATCAGACGTTTTGGGATACCGTTTATTTTGGTGTGTTGTTTTCAAGTTTCATTAGGAATTATGAAGTGAAAATGAGATGCTGTGAAATGCGATTGATACGCGGCGAGCAGATGAGGGGTTCAGTGGCTTTATGTCTTATTGAGGCTTGCATGTGGTCGGCCCGGCATTGTGAGATTAGACCATTGCTCGGATTCATGACGGCATTTGCGGAGGGCCGAACGGGATGCCCGATTATTAATGACCCCTCTCCGGCAAGCTCCAATTACGGCCTCCGACCCGGTGCGAGGTGCGAGGGAACGACCATCAAGGAATCGATTAGCAAAGCGCTTTAGAAATGGCGAAAAAAGATCAATAATCAAACGCTGGCGAGCTATGTGTCGTGCAATTGACAGGTCAGCCTGCGCATTCACGGCTTTGTGTCGTTATTGACTTTATCTCCTTCATTACTGACACGAAGTAGACTCCATACCCAGATACATCGAGTGTCAATTGTACCGGGCCGGTGGGAGATATGGCTTCGTCAGCATCATGACCTTTTTGCGACTTCTCCATCACGAAAAGCCATTATTACCACTACAAGTAGCGAGAAAAGGTGCTCAAGTCTTTCAATGTGATGACAATCTAAAAGTAAGATAGAGACAATAAGTGAGAAGGAGTGACATCGGGGACCTACGCCTTGAGGCAAGTGCGGAAGTCACCCTTGCCTGCGGTGCGAACCGCCCTAAACGGGAAGGCCCCGCTAATTGCCAGTTCCTTCCCCAAGTTCCCTCAACTGCAGTCGACTGCAGTCGCGCCTGCAACCTATCAACGCGTCGCTACCTCATCTTTTCGACCTCAAAGATCGGCCTTTGCAACATCCCCGGCCGATCTCTCGAGTGCCTCGCACTGCTCATACTCAACAATACAACACTAGGTTGGTTTTGCATAGATCACCCACGCAGCAAACCTCACGGCCAGTCATCACAACTTATCACGACTACACACTTTGGGAACCGATTAAATCTCACTCACTAGCATGCTCAAAGAGAACTGTTCAGCTAGGACTCGTCGATTTGAGTAAATTCACCATGCCACCACTATTTCCCACAAACTCAAGCACCAAGGATGAGTCCACCTCACAGGGCCCAACTAATCCGTCTATCCCACGACAGCGCACCTTGGATAAGTTTTTCGGTCGACCAGGCAGCAGCATGCCACAGACTTCTACTTCAGCCGCTCAGACAAAGCCGAGGACATCAACAGCTCAGCCAGCGCCACGGTCCTCCTCGTTCGCCGTGGTTCTTCCATCGAGTCCTAGAAAACGTACAGGAACGACCCCCATGAGGACAGTCGAGGACGACGCAGACGACCTGGTGATATCGGACCTATCACCCCAGTTCAGAAGACTAGCAGCTCAGGCAAAAGTAGGCGTGAGCCTCGCCAAGCCAGCCTTACCAGAAGCCGTCGCAGATGAGCCAGAGTTAGAGGTAACTTCACCAGGGGCGGCGACTCCTCCACTGCAGCCTCGCAAGCGCGGCCGGCCAAAGGGTTTTCGACCGAATCTGACGGGCAAGAATGCCCTACAGGAGGCCGGCGAGGCAGGGCCAAGAAAACTGCGGCCAGATAGGCCCAAGACAGGCGCCCTTTACGCGGGAAAGCGGCGAGGTCGACCGCCAAAAGCAGCTTCACCCAAGCCGCGAGAGATCTACAAGAGTCTAAACCCACACTTCAACACGTACATCTGCGAGTGGGAGGGTTGCAAGGCCGAGCTTCACAATTTTGCGACTCTGCAAAAGCATGTGTCGATTGTTCATACCAAAACGGTAGCAGCTGGATGTCGATGGGCCAAATGCGCCCAAAAGCAGCCGCCTCACGAGTTCCCCACACTGGCGGACCTCAAATCTCACGTGGAGGATCTACACATGCTCCCAGTCGCCTGGCAGGTAGGGGACGGGCCGCAAGTGTCGTTCAAGCGATACGATCCCGATGATGGGGCCAAGCTTCCTGACTACCTTTTTGACAAGGCTGGCAACCAAATCACACCGTCAATCAAGGATCAGAAGGAGGAGGACTTGTACACGTGGCGCAACAATAGGCGGAAACTCAAGGATCTTTTGCTTCTCAGAGACCAGAATCTGCCAAGCGAGGAGGAAGACGACGA